TGTTGGACATTATATAGCACTAAACTACAACAACAGTCACCTCAAGGCACTTTATTTTGTAAAGTAAAAAAACAACATATACATAGAAAACCCCAACCATCAGACAAGAACCTATGAGCAACCACCTTGGGGACAGTGGGAAGGAAAAACCCCCTTTTAACAGGAAGAAGCCTCTGGCAGAACCAGGCTCAGTCAGGGAGAAAGGACAGAAGACACACTATGGAAGAGAGCCAGAGGTTAACAATAACTAATGATTAAATGCAGAGTGGCCTATAAACACAGAGTGTACTGTCAAGACTTAAGTGAAGAAGAAGCATTCATTGCATCATGGGAAGTCCCCAGCACCTTAGATCTTTTCCAGCGTAACTAAGAGAGGATTCCTGAGCTTCCTAAGCTTTATTAAAAATAAAAGTTTTAAGTCTAATCTTACAAGCAGAGAGGATGTCTGTCTCCTGAATCCAATATGGGAGCTGGTTCCACATAAGAGGAGCCTGAAAGCTGAAGGCTCTGCCTCCCATTCTACTTTTAATATTATAGCAACCCCAAGTAAACCAGCAGTCTGAGGGATAAGAGCTCTACTGCGGTGATATGGTACTATGAGGTCTTTAAGATAAGATGGGGCCTGATTGATTCACTGGCATTACATGACGTCTCCACACATTAGTTAAGATTGGACTTTTCTAATAAACCTTTTTATGTAAAGGAATTCTGACTGCGTTTAATAACAAACAGAGCTTTTTTGCCTGCTCCCATATTAATCAGTTTCTTTCAAGAGGAGGGCAGCTGATGGTAAATGGCCTGTATTTATATAGCGCTTTACTAGTCCCTAAGGACCCCAAAGCGCTTTACATATCCAGTCATCCACCCAGTCACACACTGGTGATGGCAAGCTACATTGTAGCCACAGCCACCCTGGGGCGCACTGACAGAGGCGAGGCTGCCGGACACTGGCGCCACCGGGCCCTCTGACCACCACCAGTAGGCAACGGGTGAAGTGTCTTGCCCAAGGACACAACGACTGTGAGCCGGGGCTCGAACCGGCAACCTTCCGATTACAAGGCGAACGCCCAACTCTTGAGCCACGATCGCCCCACTGATAAACTGAGGAACTTAACATGACATTCAATATCACACACAAACCAACTATGGTAGGTCTGTATGTTAGCTGTGTGATAGCTACATATGGGACTTTTCATACTCCATTTATTTCTATTTCCATTTGTTCTATGTATGAGGCACACTTCTCAACTAAGTCTACTCCAAATTTCTACATTCGTGCTGAACAACGCTCGGCTTTCCTCATTTTCATCAGGGAAATAACCTCCATGCAAATAGAAAACTGTAATTGCAGGTTTCTCCTATCTAGTCTATAATTGTGATATCATTAACTTTTCTATGGTGAACAACTAATTTAAAAAGCGCACGCTTGATTGTGCGTCAGACAAACGTGGCGATGGCGGGTCGTAATGAGACAACGGGACAGGGTTTGAATCAGGCTGACAGAAAGTTGAAATCACTCAGTCAAAGAAAGAGAGCAAATAGTGATCGCGGGAAAAGAAATTAGCGCACGAGACTGAGGTTTGCCACTCGGGCATCAGTCTGCGCGCTTAAAGACAGAGAACACTCGGCAAGAGTGGCTGAATAAAAATAATGGAACTGAAATGACTTTTCGAAAATTTAATTGCTTAAACACATGTGACGATATATTAACAGAACTCAGATATAGAAAGAGAAATTAAACAGTCTGAAGCAGAGATGCAATTACAATGTTTCAAACATATTGGCTGTGACCAATCTTACTGCTTGACTATCTGGGGCAGAATGGTGGTTTTTCAAACAGAGGCTATCTGTGAAGCCAGAACAGAAGGATTAATTGTTCTGGTTCAGAGTGGCGGTGCATAGTGTCTGCGTGTCTGTGTGTTTGGAGGCGCATGTGTTTGTGTGTGTACTGCAGTGACTATATTATAAATAACACACTTTCTTCCAACCTGTCTCTTCTGTCTGGTCGCTTGTTAAATTCATTATCTGCTGGCATTAGGATTCACTTCCAAGACACGCCATTCTGAAAACTTTCATCAACTCTTCTAACGTCGACCTTTTTACGTCCGACTCCCTGCTTTGTTGAGTCACTGCTGTTCTGTGACCTGGCTGACTGAGTGTTCCCGGGCAAATTGAGATTGGTGCTTTAAAACTTGGATGGTTGCAGTAAAGTGTCGACACTTGTCATATTTTGAATCAGGCAAATGGAGACCTTCCGGGTTTGTGCTACATTAAAAATAGCACCCACACAGAGCAGCCCCCTGCTTTGTTAGACATGAATATGACCTTAATCATGCTGAAGGTTTTTTTTCCTCTATTCCAAGGTTGGGGGGGGGGGATCTAATTTAACCCAAGGCACAGGCTACTCATCGCTGCTGCTTTAATGGCGGTAAGAATAGACCAGGTTCTCCTCAGACATGGGATTAATCATGGGCCATCAGCAGCATGAACCCGCCTGCTGAAACACTCGTCTTTGTCTTTGAAAGAATCTTTTTCTACATGGAACAAGCTCCAAGCCCTGCCACAAGAAAAAAAGGATTTCAGGAAGACCTTGGGCAATTTAATTGGGTGCATGTTTTAGATCTGCAACTGCCACACTGTGTTTCATATTTCCATTAAGGTGCTTCATGTTTGGGTCCTCATCAGTTAAAAGATTTTTGGCTACATTACATGAAGGAAAATGTGTCTGGTGTAGTTTTTTTGGCCCCCCAAGCAGCAATCTAAACAAGCTTAAGTCACTGCTGTGTTTTACCAAAAACTTCTCTCACTTCGGGCCAGTGGACAAAGCAAGGTGGTGATGAAATCAATGCAATTTTCACAGACTGGGGTGGCCTGGATATAGTGCACCCACTGAAGCCCCCCGCCGCCTCAACCACCACTCTGATGCATTAGGCTGCGCTGTTCAGCTCCTCTCCCCTGCAGACAGTGATGGATCTGATTCATTTCAACGGTGGCCTCCAGTGCTCACTCCCATTCGGGCTGGGTGACAGTGGCAAACTGGCGCGGGCTCCCCGCATATCTGCTGGGCCGATACGGCTGAACATAGGGGGGGGGGGGGGACCAGGCTGCAGCTGGGAGCCTGAGTCAACATTTAACTTGCGCTTCTCTCACTTGAGGTTGAAATTCTTACACTTTACAAGCTTATCTTTTCTCCACTCAAAGTACATTAAAATAACCCTCCAGTGGCTTTAAGGCATCTATTCAAACCATGAAGCTCCCAGAAAACACTGCAGCGTATGGTTGCCAGTAATGGGACTTTGATAGATGGAATCTAAAATGTACCATTATATCTCCTTCTGGTTTAGTTTTCAGACACTCTTTGCTTCTTTGCAATGCTGTCACCGTGTTGTCTCATAGCAACTGATGTTTGAAATAAATACCGAGTGATATACAAACGTAACTTCTCTCTAAATAGATTAATGTACAAATAGCATTTTTCATCTTTCTGCCTACAGAGTGCTAGTTTAATAATAAAAAGTGTAAACACACACATACACACACACACACACACATATATAGCCATTTCTAATGACAGTAGCCCAGCTGTCTGCTTACTGTCAGTCTATCTACCTGTCTGCCTGCTGGTGAGAGATTAAAGACGACAGGAGAGTGACTGGACCGAAGCGATAGAACTCACTGAACCTTGGGGCTGAGGTTTCCCAGGAGGGACATGTGTCCTCTCTCTGTCTCGGTCAGAAGGCAGGGTGGAGAAAGAGTGGGGAGAAGGAGGGGCGGCAAATGGGGGGTGTGGTGGTGAGGAGAAATAAAGCCAGGCAAAGAGCAGGTTGTGTATATTGGACAGTGGCATGAACTGTAACGCTGCAGTAAAACAAATGCGGCGTCATTCAGATGAATTCAGCTGCAGTTTTCCCTGAAATGTCTAAAAATTTCCACCTGTTAAGACTATGGAGAACCACAGGCTGGAGCAAGGGAGGCGAAAACTGAACATGGAAACGAAAGGAAAACAACTGCACGAGGTAGGAGGGGCTGCTAGAGAATGCTTAGCGGATGAGGGGTTACTAGAGAGGGTGAAGGACAGGGGAAGGGGAGGGGAGCCTCAGCGTGAGACTCCAAACTGACACACAGCCACAGGACAGAGGCTCCAATTAGAGTCACAGCAACACTAATCAAACCTGATCTACAACCTCTGGCTGCAGGGCGAGTGAGCGTGCACGAGGCTGCGAATGCATTCACACATCGTTCCACTACGCTGGGATACAGTCACACCACGCATTGCATTTCCCCCCTTTCACCACACTATGTGAATGACAGTTTTGTTGATGAAAAAAAAAAAAAAAAAAAAGGTAGGCCAGGTTAAGTTTTGCATCACAATGGACGTTTCACGAAGGTGAAATCCCAGCACTTTAATATTCTTGACTGTTGCTTCGTGACAAATATCCATATTCCTTTATCTCCCAATCCTACAGTGTTATTCTGCAGAGCTGTCAATCACAACTCGGTGAAGTACTTCTTAGATATCATATCAAGGCCCACCGTGAGCAAAGAAAAAAATCACGCAGAGAATGGGGAAAATGGGAGACGCTATCACTATATCTCACACAGGAAATGGGAATGTTTGAAGATTTGCATGGTGGTGTGGTCGCGTCATAAAGGTCCTTCTCTAGCTATCTCAAATTTCCCAAAATCTACGGGGCTTAGATTAGCAGCACTGGAAAGGTAGAGGAAAATCAATATCATCTATCAGCCAAGTTGATATGTAGCTATCCCGCATCTTCATTCCAGTGTCTTATTCCACCTTACCGACTCAAAACAGGGATATGATTGTAGAAAAAATTACATCGTGTTATACAGTCTATCTTAATGTTATGGTAGGTCATGATTAGAGCACTAATAATGATACCTGATTTAAAAAAACATAACAAAGGGAGACCAATTAAATCGGACTCCTTGTGGTGCCAATTAGTCACATCAGCGTGACTCTTCCCTGACTGCTGGGTTACCTCACTGCTCATGGCTACCCGCCGGGCCACGATGAGCTGGATCATCCCTCGCTTGTTACCCTCTACAGACATTGATTTGCGCAGTGTTTCCATGGCCTCCTGATTTGTCTTCTCAAGCAGCGACTCCCCATTGACTGCTATAAGCTGGTCGTTAACATGCAGACGGCCATCCTGCAGACAAGAACCATCATAAGAAAGTGCAATGCGGTTCATAAAGTAAAACAGAAGCTGCTCCTGAGGCGGCGTTTCCATGGTTAGCATGTACCCTTTTCACATATCCCCCCAAAAATACAAGTGTAAGAAGATTTTTTCAGAATTCATTTTGTCATATTTTGATTTGTAAATAATGCAAATTCCAATTCAGTTTTATTTACAACAAAATACAGTACAATACAAATACAGGGAAAACCCCAGGAATTATATGACTTTTAGGGAGGGAGGGAGACAGGGAAAAAGTAAAACCACTGCATGGCACTAGTGCTAATAAATACGAATTAATTTCTCATTTTTCGAACAAATAACAAAATATTGCCAAGTATTTCTCCCCCGAGAAAAGAATTTTATGCCACTCGCACCTTCTGCTACAACTTGAAGGTCACACTGTCTTTGCACACACCTGTATGTTGCAACCCATGAAAACTCATGAATGAAATCCATCAAGGAAATGCCCGAGTGAAGGAGTCGTTACTTGCCTTGCTAGCAGCACCTCCATTAATAATGGATTTGACGAAGATGCCCAAGTCTTCGTGGTTCTCCTTGGACCGGTTTCCTTTGACGCTGACCCCCAAGCCTGCTGAACCCGAGTCATTCAGAGGGATCTCAAAGGTCATGAACTCTTGTGCACCGTCAGGGGTTAACACGATGTCATCTTTCTCTTGCTAATGTTAAAAAAAGAAAAGATTGAAGACAGAGGGTGAGATTTCTTTGACTTCTGTCAGCATTCAGCAGGAAAGAGTAAAAAAAACCTGAATATTTGTCGTGGCTCTGTCACTGGCACAGTAAGCAATAAATCTCTTTGGGTTGTGATGACTCAACTTATTTTCTAAAGTTGGTAAACTGTTGTTGCGACTCACTGCAGTGTCACTATCAGCTATCCACATAGGTTTTTTTTTTTTTTAAAGGGTAAAAGGGAATAGCAAAAGAAAAAAAAGAACCAGGTTCATGAATGACAGGAAAATGGAAAGCAGGGACTAGACAAGATAAAGGGGGTAAGATGAGCGGAGCAGAAGAAAGTGAATGGATGGTAAGCATGTCACATATCTCAGTGCCGTCATCGTCAATTGGCTGTACTGTCTAGATGAGTGCTGCCAATGCCTTTCCACCGCCATGAGCTCCGTGTAGGGGACAGCAGAGAACTTTGAAAGCGCCAGGTAGCAATTTGATGCTCAAACAACAGCGGCTTCCTTTGAACAACATCTCTTTGAAAGATAATTTGTCACACGTTAAGGACCTGAGCCTCCTGGGCCCTTTTTTTCTTCTTTTTTCAAAATTACAGAAGCAAGAGTTTTTATTGCAGGTCCAGTACTGCAATACTCTTCATGCATGGTTAATGAGAAATGGTTCATTTCAACTGCAGGAAAGGTGTGAGAGGGTAGCGATGAGTTTCTATCAGCCAGCAAAATCAATTCAGCCGGAAAATAGTCCATCAACCTTCAACCAGCCACTCTGGTCGATTTTCTGACAGCTTTCTGGCATCATTGATGTCTAACAAAGAGCATCTGTAAAAAAAATAAATAATAATGAAAGGGATAGCATTTGTGTATTTTATTTTTCACTTTCAGGGAAACAAATGGGGGGGATGGAAAGCTAATTGCGTGGAGAAAACAAAGGCATCAAGAAGCTGAAAGATTCTCGCTTTTAACTTGTGGAAAATCTGATAAAGATTTAAGGACAGGCTAAAATAATGTCCATTTAGTTGCTCAGGCCCTGCCACTTATTCTATAGCTGTAGCCAGCATCCTGTAGCTAACCTCGCATGCTGACGCCTGATGTTTCGGTCCATAGTCGCTCGCAAGTGTTAGACTCTTGTCACCTGGTTACATTAACAGCAGTTCACCTTCTCCTCACATTACTGTAAACACAGCAGATTAAGCGTTAGCAAGAATCAAGCATGATGAAACTGTTCCACGAGAAACTCGAGAGCACACTGTGATACTGCCATTGCTCAGATTCAACTGTGCATGGGCTGTTATTGCCACAGCACCCAAATCTACATTAACAAGACTAGAGCAATCAACCCCGAAGACCAACCGCAAGACCTCTCTTTGCATAGACTCACATCAACCGTGCACACAAACAGCCAGATGGATAGCAGCCAGGTGCCCTTCACAGCTGCTCGGATAAAAGAGTGAAACAGAGGAAAGAGGGGAAAGGTAGAGCACAAGGTGTTTTTTTTCCAGCGGCTGAAGAGTTATTAGGATGCAGCGGTGCGTTCAGGTGAAAGCTCTTTTCAACACAATCTGACGGAGCCCCTATTCTCCAGACGGCCCTCCTATCTGCCTCCTTTTCTTTCTCTGAGCTTTTGTTTTTTCTCTCTCTTTTCCAACTTTTAAAACGGCAGTACACCTGTCTGTACAATTCACCAACTGACTGGACCCTTGGTAAATTCAGACCACTGGAATCCATTTAATCGCGCCACGTTTCAACACCTGGTTTTCAAATGCAGGTTCTATTACAGAAATCACCGGTTGCTGCCAGGAAATGACCTTTTGCTTTCCCTCAGACTGCTGAATGAAGCGGATAGGGGAAAGGAAAAGAAAAAGTGTGCCGTTGAAAAACAATTTGTTATCCAGGGCAGGGGTAAAAATAAGCCATCGACGCTGTTTAAACAACCATTCTTGTATAGAGCTTACAACGACATCATTTTGGAATTTCTATAAACTTTGACAGCTGCTGTAGTGGAGTTGCTTTACCTCAGTGTGTGAGCTGAGATCAGTTGGTTTGCAAAATACGGCACAGACATACAACAGTAATAATAATGTATACTTTATTGATCCCCGTGGGGAAATTCTTCTCTGCATGTAACCCATTCACTCAGTGAAGCAGTGGGAAGCCACTGGGCCCGGGGAGCAGTGTGGAGGGACGGTACCTTGCTCAGGGGTACCTCAGGGTAATCGTTCAGTGGATTTGAACCCCCAACCTTCCGATTATGGGGCCACCACTCTACCTACTGAGCTATCCCTGCCCCCATTCTGAATACACTCTGAAAAGAACATTTATGAATGTGTGGTCTTGTGCGTCACTGCCGTGGTTTAACTTTTACTCTAATCACAATGTTTTATCAAAATAAATTGATAAAACATCTTGTGGCTTTGAGTTATATCCTCTCTGAGGCTTTTAAGCCCAGCGACTGACGATGGCAATATACTGGTTGAAAAAATTACTTTGGATGGACAGTCTCCGAGTCTTTGTACGTGAGTGCGTGCGCGTGTGTGTGTGCACGCCCGTCTTCCAAAATGATGACAGAATAACCACCCACTCAGAGCTGTGTTCCGGGAATAGAGGGCCGAGGCAGAGAATGAGAGAGCAGTGTAACATTTTCATCAGACAGGAACAAGCGCCGCTAGCCAAGAATGAGTTTGTCAGGCTGCTTGACAGGCCTTGTTGCACCGATTCAACTCAGGCAGAGCTGGATTCAGCTATCTCCGAACAAGAGAAAAAAGAAAGTCAGCTCATTGTTCCAAGCACAGCCCCGTGGATGCACCTGGGACAGAGAGCACAAAGGTACTGACAATCAGTGAAATGATGTAAAGACAGGGAAAAGGTTACGTGCTTAACTAAACTTAAAAAAGCACCAGGAAAAAAGTTATATGCATAACACATCTGTTTTCTCCCATCGTTGTTTTTTTTTCCTCTATAAAAGGTAAAAAATGATGCTCTCTTCTGAACAACAAAAAGAAAATAAATCACCGGCAACAAACTATTCTCCAGTGTAAAGATGTATGGCCTTGAGCATGCCACAACCAACACCACCTTTTTGGGGTTACTGTTGTTTCCTGTTAGTTTTCTGTTCTTTGAGCAATAAGATCACCTTCATATTTGTTCAATATGAAAAGTAAAACCCAAACAAATGTGCTACAGTGTACTCTTAACTCTGTGGGGAAGTTGCGCCTCAACAGTCAAGATTCTGGGTTACTGAGCAAAAGATGGGGAATTGTGGCACAGTCAAGCTGAGCCCTTAATCCTGTCCACACCAGCATATCTGCTCCATGGCTGACCCCAATCCTCTGACCCCAGCCTCCTAACATGCAGGAATATGTGGAAACAGTTTCACTTGCTTAATATACAGTACATGTGACAAATAAAGGTTCGTTTAAGATATTACTGATATTTTAGCAACTACAGACACACCGTGGCTATCCCAGGAGCCCGGTGTGGTTGGACCACTGATTGGGCTTAAATGACTGAACTTGAAGATTTACTGTTAACTGTATACATGTGATGCAATTTAGCACAGCCTGGAGTGTATAGTATATGTGCCAGCGCATTTAATCAGAACAATGTTACATACATAAAAGTGATGAATCTGTCATATGTCATGCATTAATCTTTGCCTTTCACATGCGTTTGATCAGTTGCCTAGAGATGGATATAGTCTCTTAGGTGCAGAGGCGGCTCTTACTGTGTTGCTCTCATCTCTTCAGTTTCTAAATAGCTTAGCAAACTCTCGGCATCAGCTCAGGAGCTGCCTAATTTTTGTGGAAAAAAGTGGCTCTTCCCGCAAATCCGTGACAACGCTGAGAGGCACATGCAACCAAAAAAGGTGCATATGCAGCTTTACTTGATAAATATGTTTTGTATCATCAGCTTATTAAAAAATTATCTCAGCCTTCTGAAACAAATTAAAGTTTAAATCAGTCCGGGCCTGTTTATTATTATTATTATTATTATTATTAATAGAAAATAGGCAGAAAATAGGACAGCGCAATTAATCCGATTTTTACCTCTAACTCGATTTTTGGCTTCCACAATTAAACGAGCATAATCAAATGAAAACGCATGCTCCAGTATTTAAAGGTGCAGCGTGGAAAATCTCACCACTAGATGTCACTATGTTCCAGACTGAATTTACTGGGTGTTTTTTACTGCTTCCAATTCAAGTGCGTGAGTATAGACTGTCACTTGGCTGTTTATCTACCTTTACACCTCAAAGCAAAAGTAACTCGAGTGCTCCCCAATTCAGAACCTGTATGTGCCAATCACAGCTGTTTCCTGCACTACACAGCTTGACGTTTCCTGGATTAGTCTGAACCAGTAACAGCTGATTTAGCTTCTGCAATGAATCTATGCAACAGGTGCTCACTGAAATCACCAACCAATCACATTCCATTTGACCACTTAAAACTGTTTAGCAAATATTCCAGGAAAATGTTCAGCTTACTGAACAAATATTATATTTTACTAAACTGGCAGTAACTGCACTGTATGCAAAACACAACAGGGGAAGCAGAGATGGATCTCAGAGCTGTCAGGTACTCTGCTATGAATTTTATTAACATCCATCATGCAGGGAGAATGAATAGAGTGAGAGACTTTATATTATTAGTCTGCAAAGATTCATTTATAAAGATTAATTAGCACAAAGTAAAAGTGAAAGTAGTGCAAAGTTGATTTAGTTTTTTGTTGGGTTTTGCTACAATACTTTCTTTTCCCTTCTAAGAGATGGACTAAATTTAAGTGAATAAGCACTACCAATTTTATTTTGATGCAAAGATTTGCAGTGTCGTGTTCATATGAAAGGGCACTTGAAATGTTTTCATCACTAAAAATCAGAGAATACGCGGGAAAAATAATTGTGACCTCAGTACGGAACCAATTAATTCCAGTGATAATCATTTTGGCTGTAATCATGCAAGCCTAGCAGAAAATATGCAAAGAGG